AAAAACTTAGAGTACTCAACTCTAACACAAGTGTTGAAGAGACAACACAAGTAATCAAATTACTTGTATTACACACACAATTATATTACAACACACAAACTCTTAAAGATACTCTTTGAAGCTATAACACTCACTCTTTCTAGAGACAAACTCTAGATCACTCACATTCCTCACAAGACTACTCATACTTCTCACTCTCACTTAGTCTTCTTAATTCTACTTGGTTGGTTTATTGTTGATACAAATGGTTTGGATGCCTTCTCCTTTTATAGGCATGGATGGAACCTTGGAGAAGCATGAAAGCATTATGCTAGAGATATCTAGATAATTCCACTAACTTCCTAAGCTAGAATTATCTACACTAATCTTGCATGTTGGTGGATACCTCACCATTCTTCTAGACTCTTCCACCAACTTAAGAAACAACATTCTAGTCATTTCTACAAAGGACTACTTTAACTTGAATAAACTAGCTAACCAACCTTAGTGAATGTTCTAGAATTCTTTATTTTCGATTTGTGTAGGTCCTTCAATGAGATGAGGTTGATTTCTTTACCCTCATGCCCAAAACATTGTGACCATTTTCTTTATAGTTTGGCTTTCAAACCCATGACTTGCGAAAATCTCGTCCAAACCCTTTTTTTTTTTTTTTTTTTTAAATAAAACAGCAATGTTATTTCCACTCAAACATTGCTATCATGAAAAAAAGACATTATTGTGAACATATTGTAGAATTAAAAAAAAATTAAAAATGCAATAATTTAGAGGGTACATGAAGCCAAACCCTAACAAGAAGTAGAAAATTATTAGAAACAAAAATCAATTAAGATAACTCCTAGGAGAAACATAAATTTGGAAGAAAATGCACTGCTAAACAAGAATCACACTCAACCCAAAGAGAATACCCCCTCTCCAAAGCCATATAAACAGCATGAATACTAGCTTTAAGTTCTGCCTCCAAGGCAGTAGCAATGTCAAAACATCCTGCAAAACATCCAAGACAATGATGCAAGCACAAAAAAAATACTATCAAAACTAGCCATGCCCGTAGAGCCACGAGCCTCATCCAAACATAGCCTAAACGATTCTTCGCCTTTTGAGGTTTAGGACTTGATTTCTGGATCTTATACTCTTCCAGTTGAAGCTGAATGGGTAGTTTCAGCTGCCTTTAGTCTAGATAAACCTCCAACCCTAAAACTATGTAGACAAGGACCCTCCAACTGGTCAGTGGTGGTTATCTTTTTGGGCTACCTGTTGGCTTTGTTGCTGATTCAATTAGAGCCACTTTAGGTGCATGGGCTGCTTTCCTTCTTGGAAGAACTGTATGTTTCTATCCTAAACTCTTGTATTGGAATTTCCTGGTTTTTTTGAGTTTCTGAAAGAAAAAAAAAATAAAAAAGAGAAAATATTAATGCATTTATATGTGTGAATATGTGTACGCTCTTCACTGATATTCCGTTCTCATTTTTTGTTCTCTCTCATTCATATGTAAATGCTTTGTTTGTATCTTGTCCTCTGCCCATTGGTCATAAATATAGTATCTATGCTTTCTTTATCTTATTCTTGAACACCCACACAGATTGGGAGATCATTTGTTCTTTCAAGGTTGAAGGTGGTTTGCATATTCATGATCTTGTCAAATTAATATGTTCTTAGTTGAAGTTGCAGAAGGGTTGCAATGAATTTGTTGAGATTTTTGTACGTAAATTATGACTGCAAACCCCTTGAAAATCTACTTTTCCGAGGTATTTATATCATCATATCTCAGTGTTGTCCTCAACTCTAATCACTTTTAACAGTTGGGCTTCAATTAACATTATTCTTACAAAATTTGTGGGTTTGATTTTGGGTGCAGGTTGCATCTAATGATCAGATTCAAGTTATTGAGATGATTAAGCTCTTGGAAACAAGGGGTTCCAAGACTTTTTAACGTTTGTTTCCAACATTTGTACATAATTGTATAAAATATCAGTTATGCAAATTTATAATTATATTCTTATATTTAATGACAATTCTATAGTTGTATTCTTATACTTAATGATATTACAATTTGTTTTCTCACCAAAAATAGAAAAAGAAATATGATACTCCAATTTGGGTGCCCACACAGGGCATGCTTTTTTAAAAACACAATTTTCAACTTTGACCCCAATGAATTAGGGTGGCATTGTTTTAGGTGGCACAGATCTATTAAGGGTAGCCATTGTTACAATAAAGACTTCTCTATAGGACATGTACACTTCTTTAGTGGCTGCTTGGTGGCAATTGAGGTTTGTCATCAATATCAGTGCTCACTCTTTATAATAGACAATGAAAAGGGTGTCCTCTAGCCAAAATTCTAGTAGTGCCTCCAACTGGTTGTAATTGGAGTTGTTTAATTGATTAATTACTCGTGTGTTAATTTTAAAGAAGCAATTTTTTTTAGGGAGATTTTATTAGTAACAAAAAAAGAAGTATTAGTTATACCTAGTCAAATAGGATATAAACCTTATCCCTTTTAAAAGTATGCATGAGTCATTCTTTCCAGAATGCCTATTGCATTTGGGTTTCGATCACCTCTTTGGTCCAACCTAAAATACAAATGCATTCGGCCTTGGTTCATAGGCATGCTAGCACTGGTTGGTCTAGTCTGAGAAAACATGCACATTGGTCTAACCGAGTGTAATAGAAAGCTTATGTATGATTTTCTTGATTAGGCAACGCGAAACATTTGGACTAAAAAATACTCCTACCAATCGTTATCAGCTTATTTCTTTTCTTTTCATATAATGAAAGAAATCAAATATCTAACATATCCTAATAACTAATCAATCCTCATCACTTGATGATTTTAACATTCAAGCAAAAGCTATTTCAGAATAAAGTTACATATATATTATGATTACAAAAAATACAAGTGACACTGATATTACAAGGGTAGGTAAAATATTTCCCAAATGAATAACCTACTTAGCCTCACTTTCACGCTCCAATTTTCATTCCTTTGAAGTTTTTTCTCCATGATTCAATTCAAGAGTAGGTAAATATTTTGTACAAACTGTACACCAATGTCGGTAGAATACTTTCGCAGTCGGTGAAGTTTGCTGAATGATAAATTTGTGGAGGCATGATTTTGAAAGCAAGCTATGATTCAAGAGCTTGTCTTCATGGTAAAGGCCAGATTACAAAACGAGTGCATTATTCTCTCACCAATCTGCTTATTATTATAAATAAATTTAAATTTCGAAATTTGTGTTTATCTACTACGCAGATTTTGAAATTTAAATTCATTCAACGATAATAAATGGGGTGGTAAGCACAGTCAATGTATGCTTTCCAAAGTTGTAATCACAGAACTCAGTTTAATCATGCCACAAGTTAGTACATAGTTTGCATAACCAATTAAGGCCTTTGCTATAATTAGTGCTTAAATCTCACCACCTTCGACGTAAAGTATTGATCACTAATAGTTTTAGTTTTAATAAAATACGGGACATAAATAGTACATGAACAAGTGGCAGAGTGAGAATTCTATATGTGAGGGAGGGCCCTTCAAATATGTATGAAAAAAATAATATTTGAACTTGTTACATGAGGAAACGAAGTAATCTTCACAAACTGAAAGACCTATTAAATTTAATAGAGAGAATCAAACGAATTGGGCAATACAACTTAGTGCGATCCTAGAGAGCAATCACTAATTTTTTTTTTTTTTTAAATACAAAAAAACTATGTGTTACATAGGAGGGTAAAGACGAAGTCCACAAATAATAGATGATTATGTCGATTTAGAATTAATATTAAAATCTCTTTTAAAACTCTCATCTACAAACTCACCATTCATCAAACTACAAAGATAAAACAACAAAATTGTTAGAAGCAGAAGACGACGACGTGATTCAACTCACAACTGAACTTCTTCATGAGAAACAATTCATCTTCCTCATGTCTCACAGCGATTGAAAGCTTGGGGACATTGGTAAATTTCTTATACTGTTATCAAGATGGGCCGGGGGACCACTATAGTCCTTTAGTGGCTCTGCCCCTGACGTTAACGTTTATATACGTAAATGATATATATGCAAATTTGGTCTTGTTATGACCGCATGAAAAATGAAAATATTTTTAAAAAACACATGCATGCGTGTGTTATACGCAAATTCGGTCCATGTTCGCTCTTTATGTCAATGCCTCTTGCAATTAGGTTGAGGAACTGTTTTTTTTTTTTTTTTTTTTTTTTTGAAGTTGTATTGCTCGAGCATTGCAATTTTTTTCAATTCAATAATAATATATGCAGATGATGCTTTATTATAATAACAGAAATTAATTATGCTTATACATCATGGTACCAGCTAGTTTGATCTTTATCAACTTTTTTTTCCTAACAACAACTGTTTAATCTACTAACATTATTGCTCTATTAAAAAAAAAAATTGCTTATTTAATATATATATATATATATATTATTTAGTACCCGTCATAAGGTTATTGGCTATCTCATCAACGTAATTTACCTCGCAAGTTTTCCATCTGATCATGCAACAGCATTTACATGGCATGATTAGAAATTTCTGAATCATAATAAAGTGACAAAGTAGGTCAATCATTTACTTGCTAGATTAGCTAGGGCACAAAAAAAAAAAAAATTCTTTTTGTACTGCATACTTGGATTACACACTAATAAAATGATGATAATAACTTATGCGGTCCCTTTTAGGGAATGGTAAAAAAATTGGGATTAGTTTGTCGGATCTACTCCAAATCGAACTTTAAAGGTCCAAATTGTTTGTTTTACAAGTCTCGATTTATAGATTATTCTTGCAAAAATTTATTCAATTTGAACCATTTGCCTATTTAATTGTCTCTATGAAACTTCAATGTTTCTTAAAACATAGTGTTTATCAATTTCTTTGAACTCAATTAGATGCCTTAAATATTTTCAATTTATCTAATATTTTGCAAAGATGATCTATGAGCTTTTGAAAAAAAAATAGAGATCTCTTGTCTTAAAGGATCTGATATGAGTAATTTTTTTTCCTTCTATGTATAGTATGTGTGTGGGTTTGTTAATGTACAGAAGTAAATGAAATTTGGGATATGATCACTTCACTTCATGATCACCACAGTTGCAAGTCAAACTGGAGAAGGAAATTTTGTTGAATAAACATGTGCACTGTTTCATGATTGTTGACGTTTTGTTGCCTTCAAGATGGGGCATTCTTTCTGTAGTTGTGGGGACTGCGACTACACTACTTTTCTTCTGCTTGCTAACCCTACACTTGACACATTGCTAATTACACATGCATGCACCCTTTAATTTCTGTAAAAAAAAATGGTGATATTTACCATAATTAACCGGAGAATATATAGAAGCAGAAAATCCAAACTCCATGATAAGTTGATGTCCAGTGTTGATGGCCCATTGAGTTTGTACTGCTGTGTTGGATGACGAAGGGTCATCTCGTGAAGTTGGTATCAAACTTTGAAATCAATTACGCAAAGATATTTCATAAAATCCGTAAATTTATTTTACTTTTTTTTTCATGAAAAGTTATAAAGACTGAATTGAACTTGCATGCATGAGCCTGTACATATCCCAAAGTCCTTTAATTGGCTGGAGACCACTGGGATATGATGACGATGAAGGATCAGAAATAACAAAAGATGAGATCGAAAATTTATTTGCAAGTAAACTTTTTAGTTAAAAGTAGAGAAATCTTAGGCATTGAGGTTAATCTGTCACGTGTGGTCTCCCAGCTAACAAACCATCTCCACCAGACTTTGACTATCTCCCAACTACATATTATCATCATTTTTTATCCATCTGTTTGCGTGAAGAAAATTCAACTATAAAACCCCATTCAACAACAACAAATTCCCCACACCCAGAAAATAAAAATAAAAATCCACAACCCTAAACCTAGACCTACCATGGTTTCTGAAACTTACCAATCCAAAAATGTATGTGTGATTGGAGCTGGACCCTCAGGGCTTGTAGCTGCAAGGGAGCTGAGGAAAGAAGGTCACCGTGTGGTGGTGTTGGAACAAAACCATGATGTGGGAGGGCAGTGGCTGTACGACCCAAATGTGGAAGGAGAGGATCCCTTAGGAAGATCACCTACCCTAAAAGTGCATAGCAGTCTTTACACTTCTTTGAGGCTCATATCTCCGAGAGAGATCATGGGGTTCACTGACTTTCCATTTGCAGTCAAGAAAGGTAGGGACATGAGGAGGTTTCCTGGCCATACGGAGCTTCTTTTGTACCTCAAGGATTTTTGTGATTGGTTTGGGTTGAGGGAGTTGATAAGGTTCAATACTAGGGTTTCATATGTGGGGATGTTGGATGGAGATCATGTAGTTGGTTGCAAAGATCTGAAATGGGTTGTGAAGAGTGTGGAGAAGAATACCGAGAGTTTCGTGGAGGAGGTGTTTGATGTGGTGGTTGTGGCCACCGGTCATTACTCTAAGCCAAGGTTGCCTTCCATTAAAGGTACATACTAGATCAATTTCTTTAGTTCCATGCTAGGTCATATCTAACAAGAATTTTGTTGCGACATTAATCTTGGTCAATACGGATTGACATACGTTTTAGCTCTTTATTTTTCATATGAAAATGGACGATGACACGGTACTAAAAGGAAAAGCTCAAGTGCATAACAATCGCATTTTTTAGTAATCATAATTATATTTTGTTTCAATTTTCTTTTTCTTTTTCTCTATTTCCTTTTTGTTTCTTTTTAATTGAGGTGGGTTTAATTTGGTCATGTTTAGGAATGGATGCATGGAAGAGGAAGCAAATGCATGGTCACATTTACAGGGTTCCGGAGCCATTTCGTGATGAGGCAAGGCAGTCTAGTAGTTAATTATAAATTAGATTGTTAGCTTGATATATATTGTTGGTTCACTTTCTGACAACTTAAGAGTACTATTAGGAGAATTATAGTCGTCTAACATAAGATCAAATAGATCAACGGAAGTTTCTAGCACCAAAGAGATGAAGCGATCCTTTTGCTCTATTTGCAGGTTGTGGTGGTGGTTGGAACTTCCCTAAGTGGGCAAGATATATCAATGGAACTAGTGGATGTGGCAAAGGCAATCTACCTCAGTGGCAAATCTCTTGACATATCTGAGGGCTTGTCCAAAGTCATTACCAAACATGAAAACTTGCACCTTCGTCCCCAGGTACAAGAAATTAGCTTCTATAGCGAAACGTCACGTTTCGTATTTAGGATTGGATTATAAGCAAAAAAAACTATGTCCAAACAGATTTCGTCTATGTAATGTTTAAATGCAACCAAATGCAGATAGAGATACTTCAAGAAGACGGGAGGGTGTTATTTGTAGACGGTTCTTGGATCATTGCAGACACTATCATATATTGTACTGGGTAAATTTCTAACCTAATATCATTTATACATGAAATGTTATTGTGACAAATTGATAACATTTTAAAATCATCCACGCACTATTTTATAGTATGATTGATCTAAAATACAACCACATGACATCTTTCCTTCGGATCATATGCTGTACTTGCTTTGGAAAGTGATTGATACCCGAATCTTTTGACTTTTGACTGAAAGATTTTGTGTGGGCCCCGCACTAAAATTATGGAACCAGATCTAGTCGTATTCCTTTGAATTAGTTTATAAACTAATTTTTACAAGTGGGATGCGTGCAGGTATTCATACACATTCCCCTTTCTTGACACCAAAGGAATAGTAGCTGTGGATGATGACCGAGTGGGGCCTTTGTATGAGCATACCTTCCCTCCATCGCTCGCTCCCTTTTTATCATTTATAGGCATTCCTAGAAAGGTAACTTAAACATATCTAATTTGAGAATTTTTAGTATTTGTTCAAATATAAATGTAGACGTCAAAATTTCTTACAACATATCTTTAGTTAAAGATACAATAATAAAAATTTAACAATTAAAATTTTTAAAATAAAATGCTTCGAAACGTGATAGAATTTTTGTTCTAATTTAATAAATCTTTGTAAAAAATGATATTTATTAATCAATCGATATGATCTAGATCATAGGGTTTCCTTTTTTTGAGTCACAAGCAAAATGGATAGCTCAACTGCTCTCTGGCAAAACAACATTGCCATCAAGGGATGACATGATGCAGTCAATCAAGGAGTTCTACCACTCAAGGGATGTTGCTGGCATTCCGAAGCATAACACCCACGATATCGCCGAGTTTGAGGTAAACTTCCATGCAACAACATTACCTATATCATATTTACTGATCACAGTGACTCGTAAAGCCATTGTAGCTCATATTCTAAGGTCTCTACCATTTTTGTTTTGCTTGTTGTTGCAGTATTGTGATAGATATGGGGATCACATAGGGTTCCCACATTTGGAAGAATGGAGGAAAGAGCTTTGCCTTTCGGCACTAAGAAATGCTGACACCGACTTAGAAACATATAGGGATTCGTGGGATGATCATGAGCTGCTTCAAGAGGCTCTTCAAAGTCCACATTTTACTCAACTTAGGCCTCAAGATTTTGATTTTCCTACGTAGTAACCCTACAAATACTGTTCTTATTATTATTTTACTCTTTCTTTTTCTTGGACCACCAACTTTGAGTATATTATAAGTTTTTGCTATTATATTATTTCATTTATATTTTTTATTATCCTTTTGTTTTTTTCCATAATGCTTCATATATTTTGTATCAAATTTCATATAAAAACAAGCTTAATTCAACTTAAAACTAAATTTCAATTTCATCTAGCAAGTTGTCGACTTGTAAACTGTTTGAGAGTTGGAATCTCTTAATACGATGAAGTATTGTTTAATAGTTTAAATGACGTTGACTTTTGACACTCATAGTTAATTGGTTTTGAGTTGAATGTTCATATTAATATGTTATCAGATCAAATTATTCGCTGCTTAAGTTCAAAGTTTCAAATGATCTCACATCACTTAATATGTGTTTTATTCACGTTTTAGGCAATGACGCCAATTGGGTTTTGTAAACGGCTACCATTTGGAAAGATTAAGATCTTAGTATGAGCACATTTTGGTCTCATCTAGTGCACACGATTGGATTGGATAAGCTCATTAGATTCGGAAGTGTAATCGGAGCTTTAAAAAGAGAAATTTTCATTCTGCAATATGGCTTCTTTTCTTCTCCACCCCAAACATATATATCCACATGTATGAACTATGATCTGGAGAACATTTACAAAACAAGCTATTTGATTCACAAAAACCTCACCAAATGAACATAAAAACAGACGGTTTATCGTCGTTCTTGCCATGCTTGGCCTGAAATGAGCCAAGGCTTGCTAACTGGATATCTCTGCCCTCTACGCCGCCTAGTTACCTCTCCCCAACAAATCAGACTTCTCTCCTCTTTTCCGACCTGACTTTTGGCACCAATCAGTGATTCCAAACTACTCTCGGTTACAGTGGACGGAGAAATGCTGGACCTTTTCCTTCCCCTCGCCAACCCAGGTTTAGTTGCGCATCTAACCGACCTTGTTGTACCAGAAGACTCAATTAACTTTTCTATTGTCTGAAGATCTTCAGTCACCTCATGCCTTGACAAAGAAGCAAGGTTTGGGAGAATTTCACTCTGGAAATCCTTCCGCTGCCTTCCCCTCTTCCGGCCTTTCCTTGGCTGATTTGGTAATGAAGTGGTACCCGTCTCTTCCTTTTTGTGGCCATTACTTCTACAGCAGCAGCAGCAGCACTCTTCCACTTTTGTCTCAGTTAAACTCAAGGTCATGACCTCAAAGTAGTCCATTCCATCTGGTAGAAGCTCCTCGCTGATAACCACTCTACCCTCATTCTCTTGACCACCTACAACTGAAGATGCTATCCCAGCAAACCAACATAGGGAGGCACATGAAGTTTTAAGTGGCTTGTCTGTGGTCCTTACAATACAACTACGAAGCTCAGATGATGAAATGGAAACCAAAGATTCTGCCGCAGTCCTGACAACTTGGTTTTCATCAAATTGTATTATCGGCGGAGAAAAGTCATTGTTTTCCGGATCATCCTGTCCTTGCAATAGAAAAGGTGTCTCAACTTGATTTACGTCCGATTCTCCTCTTGGTGGAGAACACTCCTTGTTTTCTGGACTAGCAGGTGCCTCCAAAAGAATTCCAGTTGAGAGAGAGTCTGCTGGTGAAAACTTATCTCCGGTTGTGGACGAGTTCAGGGCAATTTGAAATCCAAAATCTTTCCTATCAAATTCATTCTCTACTACCTGACCTGTAAGTTCTATTTCTGCGTCAAGCACTGAATCACAATCAGCATTTAAATCAAATACCACCGCTTTTCTTCTTTTTTTGACTTCTTCAGGTGGGTTCAGAATGGAATTGGAGGGGTGGCCAGTAGACTCACGAATTATTTTACTTGAGAAGTCACTTGCCTCCACCTGGGTTGAATCTTCACATCCTTTGTCAGTTTTGCCATTATGCTTTCGCCTATGCCAAGGCAAGCTCTCACTAGAAGCTTCAAGTTTTTCTGATCCAGTTGTGGCTTGGAAACACTGGGAAACTGCCGCATCCAGAGAACAGCCAGTAGGCACACAATTCAAGTTAATATCCTTACGAGACTTGACATTTGCGGAATCCATCACATCTTTTTGAACTCCAGGCAGTTCAATCACTAAATTGTCACTGGTCCAGATCAGATTATCAAAACTGATGTGTGGCTCTGAATTCTTGGATTCCAACTGGGAGCCATTGCTAAAGTTATCATCAAGAAAGAAGGCACTACCATGTTTTGTGCTAGATCTCAAATCATTTTTGAACTGTAGCATGTCACCATTGATCCCAGGCCTTACCGTTGATGATTTAGAACAATTACCGGATGGTACGGGGGTGTTAAAACTTGGGAGTGCTTGAACTGCCATTGGGAACCGTGCAAAGTCATGTACAGGTTTTCTTATAGCTGCATTGCACGAGGCCCCTGAATTTTCCATCTTGCCCTGAGGAATATGTTCATATGGCATGCACATGGAAGAAGCTCCGCTTGGTCCAGATTGGCTATAACTTCTGGGGTTCT